ACCACAGAGCCATGCTGCCAGCCTCGCTTCGCCGAACGCGGCGAGTGGCCCATGTGCTCTGAGTAACTAGCGGTGCCGCGCGTCATGAGACAAAGCCGGCGGCGTGTCGCTTTCCTGCTCAAAGGGTTAGATGTCAGGACGAATAATATGAAGAAGCTAGTTTGCATATCTAACTCATCGTCGTGTTTAATGAATATTTCTGAAAATCAGCGTCGTCGTTATTCTGAGACCACTTTTTTTAGGACAGAATCGTTCAGATTGATGAGATGTTCGCTGCGACATGTGTTTTTGAAGGTTCTCTTGATGAAGTGAATAACGAAGAACGAAGGTTGCACGCTTTAGAAGAAGAAGACAATGGCGTGGAAGGATTTACAGTAAATACAATCAAGATTATCATTTGAGGAAGTTGATTTAGAAAAACAATCAAAAATATCAGTGGTTTGATCTTGCTCAGAATTCCTTCTTTTTTACAAGTTAAATGACTGCAACTTGTCTGACAGAAACAGTTTCCTAAAGTTTCAAACAATATTTTGAGGTTGGTGGTGAAGAGAATAGAAGATATGGATATCAGTTAACATTCGCTATTGCATATTTAAGAGTAAGTAGGCCTATACTATTTGCTTTATAGTTTTATTCACTTTTTCGACACAGATAGAAGTTTAAGGATCTCGCAATGGATTTCGGTGTATTGTGTGAATCGTTTGAAACGTCAGTACCATGGGATAAGGTAAAAAAACCTGTTGATTAGTTTGGTCAGTTTGATATCGTTGATCCTTTTTCCCAGCAGGTAAGAATTCAAAGGGAGAGATATAGAATCAAAGGATTGAAGAACACGTAAATCGAAATGATTTTACGATTGTATTTCATAATTAAGGTGCTTAGCCTGTGTCGGAACGTCAAAACAATCATGAAACGATTAGCGAAAAATTTAGGAGTACAGTATCCTGTGTTGGCAAGTTGTAGGGGAGTTAAATATCATTCAGGATACTTCTGGGTATTTAACACTTTAGGGACGGCAGTTGATGAATCTCAAAGCGCAACTCGCAGGAGGCGCGCAATTTTCGCTATTCAATCAGGGTTCCTTCTCTATTTGAAAAGTAAGACCTTGGGTTTTTTGCACTACTCTAATACTCCATGATTTTCTCTACATGGCCATAAGTTCTACATGCATATACAACCTTTCTGTACGATAAAACTTTGATTGCAAAACGTTATCTTTTTTTTGCTCTTGGAGCGTTCTATGATAACCTTTCAAAAAAATCAATTACAGCGTCGAAAACCTCGAGATTTGAGCTATCGAATGATTAGAAAAGTTTGGCAAAGAGACATTCACATGCCTACAGCCTAGCAAGCAATGCAATCTGAGTGTGAAGCAAAATTTTATTTTCGCTGCTACGCCGTAATGTAAAGGTTCAAAAAAAGAATGTTTAAAGCCTAATTGAGGTTGGTACGCCAGTGCCATACACCGGTGCTTCGGAGGTTTCGGCCTCCTCGTCAGTGACCCCCGCCCCACATTAGGCCCTACACTGTAGCAACGAGGGAGGCGTATGTGCTGACGGCACGAAGTACAATGACACTGTGCCATCACCACCTCTCAGTCGATTGATCTCGGCTGGTAGAACAACATTAAACCATGGTATCGACTGTTCTCAAACCTCGCAATAAACATTCAAAATAATTTCGAAAAAAAAGGTTCAAAGCCTAAGCGAGGTTTTATGCGTGCATGGCCCTGACGTACTAACCTCGCTTAGGCTTTCAACATCTTTTTTTTTTTTGGAAATTATTTTGAATGTTTACTGCGAGGTTCTAAAAAACAGTCGATGTCATGAATCAACTTTATCTAGCAGGTTTTTACAAAAAGCAAACATACTGTTGAAATCGTAGTGAGTTAAGATATCGAATGACTATCAAATGTCTAAGAGAAAATTTCTGCTCAGCGAGAAAAATCTTCGAGCTAACGTGTACCTCAGCTGATGCACGTCGTCCCTATAAAGTCAATGAGGATCCATTAAGTTGATGCTTTCGAATCAGAGAGAACTCTTGGATCATCTGTATCAGTCAGCGTTTATAGTTTCAGCATAGTGGTAAAAAAGCGGTAGCGCTGGCGGTCTGGTGGTAGCTCGTGTCTTTTGTATGAGTTTGTACTGGGTTCAACTACCACCTAGGGTCGTAGTTTTTGCATTCCAACTAAGTATTCTTGGATATCTTCACATCGCTCAAAAAATTGCAATATTCCTCGATTATCAAGTTTCCTGTTGTTGTAAAAATGTTGTTTTGCTGATTTTTAGTTGTTCTGTTCGTAAAACTGATGGGCGCGAACTGAGCCGCAATTACAGATCTCTCTGACAATCAGGACCAGACTCTGATTTCAGCCCTTAACCAAATATACTATAGCAGATATCTCAAAATCTTCAGGGTCACTCAAGTTAATGACGTTGGAGTTTGTGTTTATTTCTACTTTGATTTCAATACTCGAGGTTTACATAATGGCTTAGAGGTCTACGATAAAATTGAGTTTAGTGTTGTTATTGAAAGTTTTTGCTGTTTTTGATTTACCTTTTAAATTATGGCCCTGACAAGAAATCACTAACTGATGGCTTTTCCTTTCATATAGTTACATGTTCACTTATCAACTATTAAAGTGTGCAGTGGTAAAAAGGGTGAAATTATGGAGGTCGGAACATGTGGATAGAATTACCTGAAATAATTCACCCGTGTGCACAGTATTTGACTATTGCGTGTATAAGATAGCTACTGATTTTAGACAGCCGCTCGAGATGAAATCATTGCGTGTGGTGGAAGTATTTCACATTATCATGATATTGATAAACTGAGAAAACAGTGGATGCTTATAACACAAGGAGTCGTAGGAATAACGTTGTTGAAAGCCATAAAGGTATTTCAAATTATATTGATCTATGGTCTTTGGTATTTATGTCAACAAAACAACATTTCTTGGTTACGTTATCCCGGAAAAACAATTGAAAAACAATTTTCAAAGTAGAAGTCGGTACAGCGAGCAAAAGATTGGATAATAATTGATGAATAATTAATGTACAGTTGTTTGAAGTTCTCTTAAATCTCTAAAGCTTGAACTCTCCAATCAAGTAAGATTATTTTAGTTCATAGATAGCTTGTCTTAAGGTGATTGTACAGAATTTTTCTTTATTTAACCGCTACCAGAGGTGGCATAATGTTGTAAATATACCCATTGACGTAGAGTTATATGTAGAACTTTGCGTTAGCTGGAACTCGAACCCATATTTTGCAATGGTTCAAGCACGCTTCCACGGATAGGGTGAAATGTGCATTCGAGTCCCAACTGACGCAAAAGTTTTGTATATCACTCTACGTCAATGGGTACATTTTTTCTTTTGTGAATGCGAATCAATAATGTGAGATTGTGAGCACCTCTCTATTGCTACTACATGGAGGTAGAACTCTTTGATACTGTTCCCTGGTATGTTTTTTGGACTTTCTCCCCGCATTCCATTTATTCAACTAACTTCAGGTGGAACTCGATCCAGCAAACATCTTCGCCAACGCCAATCTGGTCGACATCATCGGATCACCGCACAGCAAATTGTAATAATTCGATATTTCACTTCAAGCAATAAAGTTTTCAACTTTCTGGTGGTACAAACGTGAAACCGTAGCTTGCACAGACTTAATCGACATACATAAAATTTATGGCTATATCTGTTACAATGCCTCTACCAAAAACGTTCGTAAATAACCAAACTGTGGTTCAATCACTTTCTGTAAATTTTCCGTGATAAATAGTGAGAAAACCTAATAGATGTGTTGTTGATCGGAATGAAAGACTTATGCTCTCAAAACGTGAATTGAATACGTATTGATCGATTGCGATTGAATCGATAGAGACTGATCATAAGCACCGACGACAGTGTTGCTAACAAAGACGAGATAAACCCGGCTGATTATAGTCTAATGAAGAGGTAGCAAGATCTCCTGCGCTGTAACCTCACAAGCGCCTAACGCGTTACTTGCGTAGAGATACAGAATTCTCTCAAATCAAAAGCTGAAGACAAGAAAAAAATGAATCAGGGAAAAAACATGTTTTTGAGGAGAAAAGAGCCTGCTAACAACTGAAAGACAATGGATAGTGGCAGGCAAGTAGGTAGACTTCACACATTTTGACTGCTTAAAAAAGCATGAAATAATATCATTGTAGGGCTTGTCAGAGGTCATAAAATCTAAGAAGCAGATAAGAAAAGCCAAAAATGTCGCTGATAGTGTTTTCGACTTAATTTTGCTCAGAAAAGTTCGTTTCAGTCAAGTTAGTATCGTCCACAAGAGCGTTTGCAGAAGTTTTTCGTAAATTTACTCTCGCTATTACATTCACCAATTTTTGCCCAATATCCGCAGAAGAGATTCTTGTCCTTACATTTTCCTGTCCTCCAGCGAATTTTTCGCTTCCATCTCCACCATTACCGCTTCGACTTTTTCCTTTTTTGCTGCCATACGTCGTCACAGTAGTGGCTGAAAAAAGAGAGTCTTACTAAACATGTATATAAGTAAGAATTTTAAGAAGAAACAAGTATGTATACCACAACTGTCTTTTGAACAATGTTAGGAGATTTCAATTTTCCAACTTCCGACTAATAGTGCTGAGTGATGTGCAAAAATGTAAAGTGAGACGCGAGTTCAGCTCTCACCTAAGCTGCAGAGCCTCGCATAACACTCAACATTATTGAACATGAAGTTATAATGTTCCGAAATTGCTAAAATACGGCTAAAATTAAAAGCACTTTCAAATTTCAACACCTGTTTTCTACCTAAATCGTTGTTATCGGCAGGATCTGATATGAAACACTATTGAGGGTGCTAGGAGACTGACAAAACATGGAACTGGAAGTGGCTGCGAGTCATCAATTACCTGTTTCGGGGTTCACTAAGTTTTTTCGCTATACTGTCGAGGTCTTCACACTTCTTCTCATTGAGTCATGTATTATTTCACCTATTTCACGGGCGTTGTAGCCTAGTTAGTTCACTCAGTAGAGCACCAGAATCTTAATCTGGCTGTCGTGGGTTCGAAACCTGCACTGGGCTGACGTTTCGACACTTTTGACCAAAAATATTTTTTACAGCTAACAGCATCAAGTGATGCAACTTTCCTGTTCTTCACTGATCGGAGATCGCCTGGTTTGGTCGCCTGTCTGGCAGATCACCGTACTGTTGAGTTCCAAACTGCGGTTGAGTAATCATATGAATCTCCTATCAATCAGCTGTATCACCAGTCTTCCCGATGATCGTCGAGTGACTCGAGCGGAGACCAGTAACTCTTTCATTTTTCCCTATCGCGTGCAAAAGTTGCTCAGTGGGTCCTCCTTGACCTAGGGATTCGCTGATTATCATATCTTTCTTCTATCGCTTTCGTAAAGAAATCGGACGAAAGGGGTCGGTGGTCTTCCTTTAGAACGCTTGACATCCCGAGGAATCCAGTCGGTATCAGCTCTCGTCCATCGGTTGTCGTTAAAGCGCATCACGTGTCCGGCCCACCTTATTTTCGATATCCTAACGTTTAGAACCTCGTCTCTGATTTTCAATCGTTGACGTAGATCACGGGATACTCCTAGCATCGACCTTTCGACTGCGCGTTCGTGAACGCCAACTGATTTTTCATCTTGCTTACGTAGAGACCAGGTTTCTGCTGCATACGTTAGGGCAGGGATAATGTCGAGTCGAAAAGGTGGGCACGAAGTCGGAAGTTTTTGTCCTCTTCACTACATCTTCGATGCTCTTAAACGTTTCCCCAAGCCGCTCGTTTCGTCCTGCTCAACTCTGGAGCTAGGTCGTTCATCATGTTGATTTCACGACCTAGATAGACGTAACTGGAGCATTCGGAGATTGTCGTTCCGTTGAGCGTGAATGGGGCATTCGAAACCCATCCGCTCCTCATGAACATCTTTTCGTTAGACTTAGTTAAAGACCATTCTTTCCACAGGCATTTTCGAAATCGGTCAACATTCGTTCTGCTTGGCTGATGTTTGATATTATGAGAACGATATCATCAGCAAAGCGAGATGGTTTGATTATCGACCGTCAATTTTCACTCCCATTTCGTCCCATTCTAATGTTCGCATGACGTTTTGTAGGGTGGCAATGAATAGTTTTGGCGAAATTGTATCGCCGTGTCGAACCCCTCTTCTTACGTCGATGGTGATATTGTTGTAGAATGGAGATATTTTGGTCGTGAAATCTTTATAAAGCTCACGAAGGATCACTACGTACCGAGTAGGGACGCCCAGGTTATCCAGAGCCTCTATAACCGCTTCTGTTTCCACTGCATCAAAGGCTTTTTCAGATCGATGAAAGCGAAACAGAGTGGTCGTTTGTATCTCGTGAAGCTTCAATGAGTCTTGTAAACGTTTGAATGTGGTCTATGGTAATAAATGCTTTTCGGTTTCCCTGCTTGTTCGCATAGCTGTCCTTTGCCCACTGTTCTGTCAATCCTATTTAGGATGATTCGAGTAGAAAGTTTATAGACTACGAACAGCAAGCAGATTGGGCGATAATTGCCTGTGTCATGAAGGTCTCCCTTTTTGAACAACAATACGGTCTTGCCAGTTTTCCATTGAATAGGGACCTTGCATTCTGACAGGTAGCGAGAGAAGAGCCGAGCCTGGATGTTGATGAGAACTGGCGGCAGGTTCTCCAGGTGTTCTAGTCTAATCTTGTCCTTAGCGGGTGTTGTTCTGTTCTTCATCGAAGATATATTATGTCGGATTTCGGAAGGAAAGACCGGTAGAACGACATATTCGTTCTCTTTCTATTTATATGACGGTAAGAAGACTTGGCTAGCGAAGAGTTCCAAGTAGTATTGGTGGATAATTTTTTCCATAGCCCTTTTCGAAGTTGTAAGTGCCCCGTCAGGAAATCGGAGTGCAGTAATCTTGGTCTTGTAGTTGGCGAAGCCTCGCTGGGCTTTGCGAATGCTCTTCCCAGCTTCTGCAGCTTCTGCCATAACTGCTGCTCTTCTCTCTTTAAGGTCTTCTTTTATCGCTTTTCTACAGCGTTTCGGAAGTTCGGACGTAAGGTTTCGGTTTCCTGCCTCGCGCGATTCCACGTTGACCTATCATCTCGAGCGTCTGCGGAGACAAGCGTCTCTTCGTGACCTTAGGACTCTCCGCTTTTATAGCGCTAACGTGAAGATATTCAACGAGTCGATCGTGTTCTTCGTCGATGTTGTCGAGAACGGTATCTTCCCAAGAGCCGACTAATGATTTGAATACATCCCAATTTATGGTAGTTCTGGGACGTCCTTGTTTGAATTTAGCGGCTTTCTCTCCTCTCCTCGGAAAACGGAACGTTGCGCAACGGAGGCGATGGTCATCCCGTGTAGAACTTAGGAACAACAGCGATATCGGTCAGGCAAAACCTTCGATTTACTATGATGTGATCTAATTCGTTATGGTACTCTCCATTGGGAGATTCTCACGTCCATCGCTGAGAGAGAGGCTTTTGGAATTGCGAGTTACCACGGATGGTTTGGGTCGTCATGATAAACTCAGATAGCCTCTCACCCTGTTCATTCCATTCTAGTCCGTGGGTCCCTATGTGACGTTGTTCAGACGTTCTTCTAGGTCTAATTTTTGCAGTTAAAATCTCCGACAATGACCTTGAAGAATGTATGATCTTCTCTGAAGAATTTTTCGAGGTTCATATAGAACGCTTCGACTTCGTCTTCGTCATAGCTTGATGTTAGTGCGTAAGCAACGAAGATGGTCAAAGCCGGCATAGAACCACATCGTTTCAACCGTAATCGTCCGATGCGGGTTGTTAGTTGTTCGAACGAATCAATGTTCACGGTCAAATTGGACTTGACGAGGAGCGCCAGCGCCACCGACACCTCTGCGATCGCATGTTCCAAGGAACAGTTCCTCTCCGGTGTCATAGACAGCGTGAAAAGGATGGCGCTTTCTCGTCTCAGCCAGGCCAATGACGTCGTACCTTATTCTTCTTGCTTGAATCAACAGATCTTCTACAGCGGATTGTTGAGCAAGGGTTCTTGCATTGTAGGTACAGATCGTCATTTTAGTCCGTTTCGATCTTGGCAGCCTAGTTCGGCCCTGAGATTTTAGCAGCCTCTCCGTACTCGTCCTACCTGGCGCTGCCGTACCAGGGGCTCTTTCGGGGTCAGGGGAATGAGGCCCATATTTGTTACTGTTTTTGGCATTTTTGATACCCATCGTGTAGCTTGCCAGGCTCTAAACGTGGGGGCTGACTACTCACGAGTAGCTTGCCAGTCTCTCTCGGAGGAGCGGGAGGAGCTTATTTGTTGGAGGCGACTCCTAACCACCTCCCATGTACTTCCCAGCCGCTTGATTGCAGGCTTTTGGCCGACTTGACTCGTAGAAATAGAGTTTTGTCAAGTCGGCACTGCAGAAGCAGGGAGCTCGTCCTCTGAATCCACCTGCGTCTCTGGGAAGCACACGGTCGCTTTTGGTTCGCGTTTTATTTCCCTATCCACCACCTGGGGACGCGCCACGTGCCCTCGCGACTAACCGCGCGGGATCCCTCAAAGAGGGAGGTCCGTGGACTTTTTGGTCAGGGGGCGTTAAAATGCCAGCCCGGTGCGGGGTTCGAACCCGCGACAGCTAGATTAAGAGTCTGGTGCTCTCCCGACTGAGCTAACCGGGGTCAAGCAGTGGCCGAATGACAGAATAGTTGCACGCGTTACTTGTAACTAATTTTCCAAGAGATTAATAGGAATTGTTCAAATTCGTTCGAAGCGTTCTATATGGACCTCCAAAAATTCCTTAGAGAAGATCATACATTCTTCAAGGTCAATGTCGGAGATTTCAACGCAAAAACTGGACCTAGAAGAACGTCTGAAGAACGTTACATCTGGACTCACGGACTAGAATGGAATGAACAGGGTGAGAGGCTATCTGAGTTTATCATGACGACTCAAACCATCCATGGTAACTCGCAATTCCAAAAGCCTCTTTCTCAGCGATGGACGTGGGAGTCTCCCAATGGAGAGTACCATAACGAATTAGATCACATCATAGTAAATCGAAGGTTTTGCCTGACCGATATCGCTGTTGTTCCTAAGTTCTACACGGGATGACCATCGCCTCCGTTGCGCAACGTTCCGTTTTCCGAGGAGAGGAGAGAAAGCCGCTAAATTCAAACAAGGACGTCCCAGAACTACCATAAATTGGGATGTATTCAAATCAATAGTCGGCTCATGGGAAGATAGCGTTGAAGGGAAGACGAGGAATACGATTGACTCGTTGACTAGTCTTAAGGTCACGAAGAGACGCTTCTCTCCGCAGAGACTCTAGCTGATACGTCAACACGGAATCGCACGAGCTACAGGCAACCGAAACCGTACGTCCGAACTTCCGAAACGCTGCAGAGAAGCGATAAAAGAAGATCTCTAAGAGAGAAGAGCAGCAGTTATGGCAGAAGCAGGTGGGAAGAGCATTCGCAAAGCCTAGCGAGGCTTTGCCAACTATAAGACCAAGATAACTGCACTCCGATATTCTGAAGGGACACTTACAGCTTTAAGAAGGGCTATGGCGAAAATCGTCCACCAATACTACTCGGAACTCGGAGGCTTAGCTTTTGGTGTCATTTCGCTAGAATATTCTGAAAATTAGTAGGCAGCGATAAACGCAACTCTTTGGCCTTTCCTTTTTCAAGTTTATCTTCTGCCTAAGTCATTTTTGGTGGTAGGATAACATGTGAGATATAACCTCAAGAAATTTGACATGAGTGCATAACTATATAGCCTGAGTAACCTTCGTACACATTGTTACCCTTTCTGGAGCTCACTGAGTGCTCCATTGCATTATCAAGCTCTTCTTTGTGGTGTGTCAAGGGGTTAGATATATTCGATGCAAAATATCATTTATCAATCAGCTGCATTTCAATGAACGCATTTTTCTTGACAGCTTTGAGAAAACTGACCAATAAATCAATTAGCAACTCACAATTGGTTCGCTCATCGCAAAATCTGCAAGATTTTCTACAATAATGTGACATGTATTTTGTAGAATGTTTGCATTGGCCGAGTTGTTCCCACATTCCGCAATGCGCAT